CCGCAGAAGAGCCAGTTGCACACGAAGGGCCGCTCGCCCGTGTGCCAGCGCAGGTGCGCCTTCAGGTGCGACGTCTTGCCATACACCTTGCCGCAGCCCGGCACGTGGCACACATGCTGCTTCTTCTTGCCCGGCTCTGCCTCCGGGGCGCCACCCGCGGCTTGGCAGTTGGGGCAGCGGCAGCGGCGGCACCTCCTGGCCGTGGCCGCCAGGGGGGCCTTGGTTTGCAGCAGCGCAGCGATTTGGCTCTGGTACTGCGCGAAGTCCGACGGGCCCAACACCAGGCCCCGCTGTAGCGCGGCGGCGGCGGCTGCAGCGGCGGCCGCGGCCGCCGGGGGGCACACGCACTCGCACCCCAGCCCGGGCAACCCGGGCTACATGATCCCGTGCAACTGCAGCGCGTGGCCCAGCCCCGGGCTGCAGCCGCCGCTCGCCTACATCCTGCTGCCGGGCATGGGCAAGCCCCAACTCAAACTTCCACTCTTTAATATTAACCTTATGTTGTTGCTGTTCAGTTGCCAAGTCGGGTCCAGCTCTTTGTGACCCCACAGACCATGGCACGCAAGTCTTCTCTGTCCTTCACTATCTCCCACAGTTTGCTCAAGCTCATGTCCACTGAGTCGGTGATGCCATCCAACTATCTCTTCCTCTGTCGCCCCCTTCTCCTTCTGCCCTCAATCTTTCCCAGCATCAGGGTCTTTTCCAATGAGTCAGGTAGGTACTCTTTTCTCCCCATTCTACTGACGGGGGAATTGAAGCACAGAGGTTAAATATCGATTCAAGGTCAGATAGTTAGTAAATAGAAGAATGAGCACTTGAACTCAGACCATCTGGCTCCAGAGCTCAAGCCTTCCATCATGACCACAAGCTGCCCCACTGGGACCCCAGAGGGAAGGACTCCCAGAGTTGGCTTCCCAGAGCAATACTCTCCCCAAGTGAGAAGCAGAGGAACTCTGAAAGGATCCAAGAGCTTGTTCTTAGAAGAAGGAAAAAAAAAACTACACACACGGGAAAACTAATCAAGAGAGAAGAAAGAGACAATATTAGGAATGATAAACATCACATAGGACATTGATCTATACAAAGAAAGCCCTGAATCCTTGATATCACACAGTTTTCTAGCAAAATAAAAATAGCTCAAAAGGTTCTAGAAGACTCAGAGAAACTGCTTATATTGATAACCAGTGAGGAAACAGAGAGAGCCCTCAAAGAACAAGCTCTTAAAAAGTGGTATCTGGCTCAGATGGCTCCTCTGATAAGTCATCTCAAATATGCAGAGTAAAGCAAAAACTGTTCCAAAGCATACAGAAAGAAGAAAAGATTCTCTGAAGAAGGCAGCCTACCCTTGATATGAAAATCTAATGAGGATAGTTTACAAAAATAGAGGAAACACTTTGCATCCACTGGGATAGCTATTTAAAAAAATAAATACAACAGAAAATAACAAGTGTTGGCAAGGGTGTGGATAAATGAGAACTTGGGTTCATGGCTGGCTGGAATGTAAAACTGAGCACCTGCCTTGGGAAACAGTAAGGTGATTCCTCAGAAAGTTAAGCAGAGATTCACCGTATGGTTTACCAGCAATTAAACTCCTAGGTAAACACCCAAAAGAATTGCAGATAGGGACTAACAGATATTTGTACACCAATGTTCATAGCACCATTATTTAAAAATTTCCAAAAGGTGGAAAGACCCCAACTATTCACACAAAATGTGGTGTATGCAGAAAATTATGCAGCCTTAAAAAAGAATGAAATTCTGATACATGCTACAATGAAGATAAACCTTGGAAACATCATGCTAAATGAAATGAGTCAGACACACAAGGACAAATATTTTATGATTCCACTTACATGACGCACCTAAATAGGCAAATTCACAAAGACGAAATATAATGGTGGTTACCAGGGGCTGGGGGGAGGTAGGAATAGGGAGTTACTGTTTAATGGGCACAGAATTTCTAATTGGGATGATGAAAAGCTTCTGAAAATGGATAGCAGTCATGATTGTACAACACTGTAAAGGTACTTAATGCCATGGAACTGTACACTTTAAGGCATTTCATGATATGTATATTTCACCACAACAGAAAAATAGATCTGGCTCACTTATAAATACAGATGTAAAATTATAAAATAAATATCAAACAGTTGAATTCAAAGTACTAAAATTATAATGTACTCAGAATAATTTTAGTCTAATAATAATCATGGATGTGACAGTTGGACTATAAAGAAAGCTGAGCACTGAAGAATTGATGCTTTTGAACTGTGGTGTTGGAGAAGACTCCTGAGTCCCTTGGACTGCAAGGAGATCCAACCAGTCCATCCTAAAGGAAATCAGTCCTGAATATTCACTGGAAGGACTGACGCTGAAGCTGAAACTCCAATACTTTGGCCACCTGATGGGAAGAACTGACTCCTTAGAAAAAACCCTGATGCTNCTGGAGAATCCTCATGGGTAGAGGAGCCTGGTGGGCTACCGTCCATGGGGCCACAAAGAGTCATACATGACTGAGTGACTAAGCACACACAATGTTCATTCCAGAATTATTAACAGCAGCCAAGATATGAACGCAATATAAGTGTCCATCAGTGGAAAATGGATAAAGATGTGAGAAATATATATATATATATATATATATATATATATATACACACATAAACTGAATTGCTATGCTGTATACCTGAAACTTACATGACACTGTAAACCAACTCTACTTAGAAAGCTGTGGGTGATGTGGGTTGATTTTTAACGTTTATGTATTTATTCGGTTATGCTGAGTCTTCGCTGACGCTCAGGCTTTCTCTAGTTGCAGCAAGCAGTGACTACTCTTGTTTGTGGTGCTCGGTCTTCTCCCTGAGGTGGCCTCTCTGGTGGAGCATGAGCTCTAGAGCTTGCGGGCTTCAGTAGTTGCAGCACATGGGTTCAGTAGTTGTGGTTCACAGGCTTAGCTGCCCTGTGGCAGATGGAATCTTCCCAGACCAGGGATCGAACCCGTGTCCCCTGCACTAGCAGGTGGATTCTTATCCACTGAATCACCAGAGAAGCCCTGGGCTGATTTTTTTCTTGCAAGTAAAATTCTAAGAAGCTTCAACAGTCACTGTCAGAAAGCCTGCTTATTCATTCTTCATTCACTCGTGCACTCATCAAACATTTATCCAGTGTCCATATATATTTGTGTGGGACCTGGGGATTCTCTGTGCCACCCCCTTATTCCTCTGAGGGGACCTGTGTAATCTGTTTCCTGTCCTTCGGGCTGCTGACCACACCCGTGTGGGGCAGAGCCCTCGGGGTCAAGTCTGCATCAGACAGGAAATATGCAAAACCCAGGTCATTTCTTGGAACACATCAACATTGCATTTGCTTCAGTTCAGGGTGATGTGAACTTCTCAGGAAATAAAGCTTGCTGTTTTAGGTACCTGAACACGCCTCTGAGGTGTTCTGGATGAATGTCATGGGAGCTGATTGCATGCACTAGGCTGTAACACGGTGAAGATTTCAGGGGCTGTTGGTAGCCAAAGGAAGCCTCCATCCCACACTGAAAGGCGTCTTTTCTCTGGTGTGAATGCTGTTTCAGCAGTGGGCTTAGAACCTCTATTTGGGCTGTTCCGATGCCCAAGGGTGCTCCTCCCTAGCTCCTGGCAGTGATTCTAGGGGCTGAGATTGCTGAATAAACCAAAGTGCACCTATGGAACA